ACGGATGTGCAAGTCCCCATGATCTTTCTTTATGATGCAGCAGATCATGCTGCATTCTGGGGTGATGGTAAATTCACTGATGCTTGCTTTGATTTAATGGTTTAAGTTAAGAGTTTGATCCTAATAGTTGGAAGAGTAGTATGAAGACATGGGAATAACAGGCTGAACAATAATGTTAAAGTTTCTTTGTAGCTCTGTCCTGCTAAAGAAAACAAAAGAATCTAACCCTTCTTCTCCTCCGTCCAAGGAGAGTCTCTAAGGATACAGTTTCACTGTTGCCTTGCACTGTGTAACTTGGCCTTCCCAGCCATACTTCCCTACTCATCCTTTTGTAATCACATTAATGTTTGTGCAGTTGTGCAATGAGTGTAGTGAATTTGCAGACTGGATGGAAAGTAGCCTTGCAAAAAATATTTTATGTGAAGGCAGGGAGTGAAAGCAAAATCGCTGTTCTCACTGGTAACTTGGAATGCTTGAGCCAACATTGAACAAAAGGCTTAGAGACTTACAAATTTTAAACCATCTTTATATTCAGTTGGCAACTTTTATTTCTCATCTCTGGACTACACCTCATTCCCAGAAAGTTTCTTTGTCCGCTTTGGGAAAAGGAAGGTACTATTTCTGGCACTGTGTCCCAAAACTTTATACACAGCTTATAGTCTATCAGCTTTTGAGACAAAACGTGCTGAATGTGATGCTTATGTCTAAATAGGATTGCTTGTTTGTTAGGACATATGTTGTAGGCTGTTCTTCAACGTAATGCCTGGGTTTCTAGTCATGACTTTCTTTGTGCAGAAGCATATGTGCCGAAGCGCGCCAGCTTCTATTGTGACAGCAAAGTAGTTATAAAGGCCCTCTGCTGACATTATGGCATTCTTACCATGTGTAGCCATTTTAGCATCAGCTTGTTGCCACAGGGTTAGAAATTAGAAAGGTTTATTTTGTTGTGTTTTTATTACCAACTAAATGAAAATTATCTTAAATTGTTGGTGAAATAATAATAATAAAAATGCAATGAGAATACTTACACTAGCACATAGATTTAGGCTTTTATAGGTTGAAATTAAATCTCAAATGCTAGATGGAAAGTGGTTATATTAGAGAAACAGACCTAATAAATTTCAGCAAGTTTTCTGAATTAACTTTTTGAAGCTGCCTAGTCTCAGGATCTTGTAGAGATTCATTCTGTGATTGATACTGAACGCAGTGACAAAGCAACCATTAATTGCAGTGAAGGATTTGATTTGGAAGGGATCACATGCAGATGTCCTAGATTCCTTTTCTGTAATATGGAAACAGCAAATGAATTATTCCTATGCTCATGTCTTATCATCATTATCCTGACTGGACTGACTCTGTTAGCTAGATGCTACAGCTTCTTTTGGTGACATGAGTCCTTTTTTCCTTTCTCAATATAAAAAGATAGTAAAAGATTGTTGTAATTAAACTAAACTTAAACTACGTGTTTTATTCTGCACTACGTACTCATCTGTTTTTTTCTGTCCTTACGAAAGACTCTGTCTTCATCCTTTAAAATGCAAAATTTCTTGTATATTTATAACTAAAAATAGATTTTGCCCCTCCCTGTAGAAGATTCAGTAAAGCATGTCTTATCCTCTAAATTATCATTACTCCAGTTTTGGAGAAACCACAGCACATAGAGCTGAAATAGTTGCTTAATACTGCAAATCAGTGACCAAGCTGGAAACTGAGCTTAGATAATTTGACTCTTGTGCTGTACTCCTGAAAGTACTCTGCCTCCCTCATTTTATTTAGCCTCCATGTGACCATTTTTTTAAAAAAATCTTCCCTTGTAATGCTTTCTTTTTTCAAATTTTTATCATTTGTCGGTCCATCTACTGTGAACTCTGAAATGCATCTCAATGAGGTGCTTACCAGCAGGCTGTGAATCAGGTGATAGCTTTCTTGTCAAACCTTATAACAAAATTCATTCGTAATGCAAATCTCTTTCATGGTCTGCACAGGAGCTGGTCAGCACAAGTGGGCACACAGTGGAATGCATAACGAGGGTGGAATGTATAATGGAAATCTGCAGCACCCACTGGTGCTGAGGCTTAGGTTTAGAGGAGTACCTTACCATATACACTTCACAGCAGATGCAGAGTCCGTTATTCTTTGTGAAAGTATGCGTGATGTCTAGCAGAGCAGGTCTGATCATGGGAGCTCCTGTTAATACTATGCATTGGGGTCTGTTAGAAGGAAAAAAGGTTACATTTAATTGGATAATACTTTCATTCTGAAAAAGCCGTTCTGTTGTTCACTGGATATCTTACCTGAAGTTTTTCACATGATCTTCCACCGTAGTTAATGCCAGAGCACTGTCTAAGGCATTAATATAGTAAAGAGCCTGTGCAGAAGAGCCCCAGTTTACTTCTGCAGACAATAAAGATAAATTAGGCACAGTAAACCACAGGCTTTTCCCTATATCTATTACAAAGGTCAGCAATCAAGTTACCTACGAGCCAAAGCATGATATATTCTGTCATGCTTCATAGATGCAGACATTTCATTCCTCGTGCTTCATAAGAACAGAGTATGTTTGGTGTGTGTCGTGCAAATGTAAACATGCAAATCTTGTACAGTAAGCAGCAGGTTGCCATTTTGAGTGAACATTCAAATGAGCCAGCTAAGAGCATGCCAAAACTCAGGTAAGGTTTTATGTGTAGATGGAAAGAAGTTACAAGTGGTACCCAAATAAAAGTCCAAATTAATCTTTGAGAATAAACTTGTGTGCTAGCAGGTTTTAAACAAAGCCCCAGACTCTACTTGAAATGCTTGCTGAAGAGGCAACAGTACACCAGCCTATTGCCTTGATGCATATGTAGAGTGGGATTTAATGGTATTATGTGATTCTCTAGGCTTCCCTTTAGAGGAAGTCATTGCAGAAGAGAGGAATGTCTCATTCTTTAAGCAACAGATTTAGGAAAACCTGTAAAGTCCTGTATCACGTACACAAAGTAATAGTGTCTTCTGGCCTTACCTGGTTTCTTGTATGTTACATAAATATATAAGAAGAGCTCAATGGCGTAAGTGATGAGAGCTGCCCACCAGTTGATGACAAACATGACACCACAGCACAACAGGGCTCCAAAAAGTGACACCCACATGTTATAATATCTGAATGCAGGCCTCCAACCTGTTTAAATGAGAATGGAGAAAATTGGAGGAGCAGAAAATCAGTTGAGCAAATGGTGATCCACTGATTCCTCACATACAGACCCATGTGCAATTTGCTTCAGGCTCTGTCAGAAGCAGTGGGAGGTGTATGTACAAACTGTAAGGCACCGTGCGCATCAACAGACACGTCCACGTAACGACTGATGCAGATTTGTATACGCTCTGAGTACTGGGTCTTACAGGTCTTTCCCGCTCATCTTTTTGCTGTTGCTTTGGTTTGAATAGCTAGTTTGTTTATAGGTATTTTTGCCAAATCAGAACTCGCTAGTTCAGAACTGAAAAAAAAGTTTTCTTTCAGTTTCACGTAATAGGCTGTTATGTCCTTTGAAGGCATATGTGTAGAACTTGTTAGTGGGAGCTAAGCACTTGCTGATATGAGACTATATGCTAAAGTGCAGCTGTCTTTTAAACTTTGCTTGGCCTCATTGCAGAAAAATAAAAATAAAACATTCGCAATTGACTTAAAAAGATATTATTCCCGCTGCTCTTCAGCTGTAGTACTAAATCCTTCCCCTGCTAGCAATTAAAATGATGAAGCAAACAGCAAGTCTGCATGGTTTGCAGGTCTCTGCCAGGTGTTCTTCAGAACAGTCTCTTTTGAGAGGGAGAGCCACTGAAGATACATGGAGAGACCGAGCAAGGCTGTCTTGGATGATCTTTATATGGAGAAAATAGGAAGGTCCTGCTGTGAACAAATTTGCTGTCTTGCAGTTACAATAATCTATCACTGAACTGGCAGAAGTTAACTGGAGGAAATGAGAAAGGGGAAAAAAATGGCTGGTTTTGTCTGAAATGTTAAGCAGTAGCAGCTTTGTGCCTGATCCACACATGTGAGGTCTGCAGAGGTAATTTTTACTCAGCTCTGAGGCAGTGCAGATCAGATAGACATTTGTTCAGCTGTGCAGGTAATTAGCAGAAATGCTCATCTTTTCTGCCCTCTGTACAACTGGCACCATGGAGAGCTATAGGAGAAGAGTTGATGTAGGCATTTATGCAACCACTGCAAGGTTCTTCATATTGGAAATCAAAAATGTGTTCTTCATTGCCTGAGTTGAATAATTGATTCACAGCGGTAGAAAATTGCCTTTCCTGTTGGCCCAAAAGGTGCTGCTCAGCTGATTGACTTCAGGTATTTGGGTTCAACCCTTTATTCATGATGGTGAGAGGGATAGTTCTGCTGTAGTGAGGCACAAGCCTGTATGATCAGATGTGTAGACGGGAACCTTTCGAGTTGTCCTTGTACAGGGCTTCACTGTGCTGCACCCCACAGTTCTGCTATTAGCCCCTGCAGAGCTCTGCTGATACTGTTTTGAGCACTTGTGGTTGATAAGGGTGTCACTTTGAGCACAATTATTGCTCTTATTAACTTCCTGCAAATTTCAGTGCATATGGGCATGACAGGCATAATGATCCCACCACCCCACACCTTCTTAATTTACGTGGCCAGAGATGGCAGCATTTTTTAACCACGTATGTGGGTGATAGTGAGGAGAAAACAACCTAGAGAGGAGATTTCCTGCTCCAGTGGATTCCTCTGAAGTCTTTTTTCATGCTCTACAGCTGTGTAGAAGGAATATAATGACTGCAGCCATTAGTTTTATCTTTGAGGGAATGAGTAAAATGTGTCATCATATTCAATGGAAGCAATAGACCTCAGATCACATTGCTTAGATATTTTACAGGTATTGCAGCTTTCATTGACAGACAGAAGAAACTTTGCCGAGATCAGGTTGTAAAGTCAAATCACTGGAAATACAGACTTACCTGGAGATTTTGCATATGATGCGTGAAAACAGGAGAAATTAATCAAAGCATATGAAGCCAGGAAGAAATTGGAGATGATGGGAGCAATGGTGTTCAGCTCAGCTGCAAGACACACAAGTCAGACATTTGCACAAATATATGAAATGAAAGGTTAGATTTGATACTGTGATTCTACAGGTTGGCAATTAATGCAGATCTACGGCAAATCTCAGATTTTTGAATGTGTAATAGAGAAGACAGATTTCTTAAAAGACTTAGTATTAAATTCTGTTGCTTTGCCTTTTCAGTGGCTATCTGAATTCTCTCCGCTGTACTACTCATTTACTGACAATGTTACACAGTTTAAATTTGAAATCTTGGCAAAAAATGATTTTAAAATCCTAAGTCCCAAATTACTGCCAGTGGTGATGGTGCACTGAATATGGTAGCTGGGATTCTTTTTTTTTACCATCAGTAATAGAAATTTGGAAATTGCTTTGGAATTGGCAGTGACGAAGGCTTGGCAGGTAATGTGTCCTTATCTCACAATTACCCCAGAGCTATATGTCCTGTAAACAAGAAAAACATTTTCAGAGTAGGTAACTAACTAATTTGATCTGCTTCTAAGCACTGCTCTGTCTCAATGAAGTGAACAGGAATTGCACCTATTTGGCATCTCTGGAAGTCAGGCTGTGCCAGCATTAGGACATTACTACAGTCCCTAATCTTTGGGACTGATGGAATTGCTGTCAGCACTTCGAGGGTGCTTGGATTCATACTTGATCTGAATGGAGATTTTTTCTTATTATAAGGAAAGAATTGTATAAATACAGCAGACTATATAATTTCCAAAGATCAGATTATAGCAGGTGTTTAAATTATATACAAACCAATCAAAATGAATGCCATAGCAATCACGAAAGTGAGAACATATCCTCTGATGGGCTCGTTGTTCTTCCCGTATCCTTTGGCAAAGAAGTGGAGTGCTTTGTAGACGTTATCCTTGCAAAGAGCCTGGTAGACAAATCAGAACTTTTTTTTTTTTTTTTTTTGCATCAGAAATACACTCCCTGTGAGTGACAGCAAGCTAGGCTTTTGCTAAACAAAAATTAGGTCCATCTTAGTGTACTTCAGGTATGTTTACTCCTCCAGCATGTAAGCATTCCAGTAAGTTGGTTGCTGATATCCCACTATGTTCTTATGTAGCAGCAAAACAAAACCACAGGCATTTAATTCATTGCTTAAAAAAACAACTTCAAGAATCTAAATTGGAGGAAAGTGAAGCACAAATCAGTAGCTTGTGTAAGTTATCTTTCTGTCGCATGCACCCTGTTCCCTCTCTGTCCCCACTGCAGCTGCCCAGATCTCTCTGAGCACATCTATCAGCACAGGAATGTGATGAGTTGCTTACTCTGAAGGGATCCTGCAGACATCCCTGAGCTTACAGGCTGGCATTTTGTAAGGGGATGCAAGTGATCTTGAGAAAAACCTTGAGGCTGTCTGTAACAAGCCCAGACACATGTTACATACAGCAAAACTGAGCTTTGAGCAAAGGCCTATTATGATTCTAAGTGCTTAGTTCTGTACAGGGTGATAAGACCTTCCTATTTCTGAAAAGCAACATTCTATGTACCATTTTCCCTGCCTCTTCATCCCATATATGTAAGTGCTCTTTGAATATGTGTCACATTCAGCACATGGAGTTCAAACAAATTATGTGTCTTTGAAGTAAAATTTTAGGAAATTCAGATTGTTGTTTTACCTGGAAAACTTTGGGTGCACTGACAAGAGATGCAAGAGCTGATGAGAGGGTAGCAGAAAAGATCCCTGCAGTGATAAGAGGACCAAAGCCGGACACCATGCTCATCACCTACAGAAAGAAGAAAGAAAAAATGAGTAGTCATGTTTGCGCTTGGATACGCTTGTTGACTACGGACCCATTTAAGTCTCCTATTACTATGGTGTCTCAGCTTTTCACAGTCCTAAATTCAATTTATCACAAACCAACTGTGAGGTAAAGAAATACTGTTTTTCTTTTTTTAGTGGAAAGCAGATGATGCTCTGCCAAATTTTTAAACATTCAGCTATCCGCTGAGGCAATTGAGTATTCTGTGGTGTCATCCTATTGGCTTTACTTGTGGTGGCTGTAAGTAACGGGCTCTACTTGACAGATAAATAGTCAGCTTTTATCAATACGGCAAAATGGAAACTGCAGAAGAGAGCACCAAGTAAGTGTCTCCAACCACATTTAGTTATTATTATTTTATGGCTGGAAAAAAAGAATGCTTGATGGTGCTGGCACAACAGCAGCACCACAGTCAGTAAAGTCCAGCCCCATCAGGCCTCTGCAGCCACTGAAAAGAAAGCACTGATAACTTAGCAAGTGCCAGAGAAGGAAGCTAAAGTGGATGGATGTGATAGCTAGATGCTTGGTAGGTGGGAAGTACTCCAGGAGAGAGACCAGTTAATCCTGGACAGTTATTAGCTGAAGATGGGTTTTTTTTCCGACTTTGGTCTGTCAAGCATAAATTCAGGAACTGGAACTGTATTGACAGCTTTCATGAGGTCATTGATTTTAAGGGTTGCCCTGGGTCTAGGCAGCCTAACTGAGATGGGGGTGAGGATGGCAGACTGTCAAGAAAAGACAGAAAAGTCTGTGACGGGCAGTTTATTCTTTAAAGGCCATGAGCCACCCCTGTCATTTAGCAGAGCCAGCTGGGGGAAAAAAGCAAGAGACTGAAAGCTACAACTGGCTAGTTAAAAAGAAACTGCAGGTGGGTGGTGAGCTCCTCTAGTAGACTCTGAAGCAGAGGGACTGGAAAGACATCTGTGAGCTGTGGTCATGCCGCTGCAGAAGAACTCCTTTACTTTGATGCCTTGCCTAAGCTTTATGTCGAAGAATAAAAGTGATAGATAGTCTCCCTCTGGCCCAGGAGAAAGACCTCTTCACTTTTCACTTTATTTTATGTTCAGTATTCTTGGGTATCTTTTTTCAAGAAGAATTATTCTGGTTTCAGAACTATGGCATAAACTCTTAACGGTGACTGCAGCACCCCTAAGGTAAAATCTTCTCCTTGTGTAAGGAACGGTCAGATGAGTCACTTCTTTGGCAGGAGTTCGTGAGGTCTCTGTTATGAACATAAGAGGCTGCAGCATATATTGCTGCATGATATTTGTTGAAGGAGGAAGTAAAGGCCTTAACAGAAGGCTGGGAGTGTTACTGACAGGTAGTAGGAAGGTAACATGGAATGCAGAAGAGTTTTTGCTTTGATTATTCCTGTAGCTTTTGACACCTTTTAGGTAACAGTGGACATTCTGTTGTAGTTGGTTGTCAGCAAACTTTTTTTGCTTGTTTATATTTATGTATTCACGCATTGCTTAGATTATATATATTATCTCATTAAAACCTGGAAATTATTCATCAGCCCGTAATCACATGGCTGACTTCTGCATCTGGAAAAATCATAGCCTAAGGTGCAGGCAGATGATCCATTACAGCTCATTCCAGATACAACTGTATCATTGACGTTCCCAGTAGCATCTCGTACAACGCAGGAGGCTGTGGAAACAACAATATATTATCATTTTTCTTCCTTGTGACACCAGGAGAATATTCTTACAATACTTTGATTCTTTGTACATTGATATTTTGTACAATTGCCGTCTTAATCCCATCCTAAGGAGTAAAGCTTCACATTGGACACGTGTTCTCTCCCCATGTTGTGTCTTATTTCTCATGTTATCTCTAAGAAAATACTTATTTCTGCTACTGTTTAAAAAATCAACTAGTTGACTAATTGGAACTAGTGCACTTACGAAAGTATAAAAACAGACACTTTGGAAATTAACAGACAGTTAGTGGACTTAGTGATACATTGTCCATCTGTGACCACTTTCACAAGTGCCAGTATTCAGAGGTAACCTATTTTTGGTGACAGTCTTAGGTCTGGGCATTTTTTTTTTTTGTCTAAAAAGGAAACACAGTTGCTTTAGACATCCAGATCCTCAACTGATCAAATTATCACGGACTCACTGATAACATGGAAAAAAACCTTTAAACAAGAGAAATTGCTGATAGTCTTTTTGTTCTTACTAATCATATTTATGCTTTTGTTTGTCACCAGAAATGGGAAGAACCGTATGGAGTTAACTTGCAGAGTGCTGATCTCAACATCTTTAGCAGCCAAATTGTAAGTTTATGTGGTATTTTCAAATATGTCAAAAACATTGTTACTGAGATTCCCAAAGTAACCATTATCTGTTCAGCAAACAGATATGCAAACAGGAAAAAAAAAAAGTTACTGCATTGAAAAGCAGCCAGCTCTAAGGCTGAAATATGGCTGTTGCCTGTGAGAATAGAACAACACATTAACCCAGGTTTAGAAAAGGAAGTGAAGAATGTCTGCTTCAACTGAAACTGCAGGGGAAATTTAGATCCAAACAGTGCGGTAACCTGAGTTGAAATTTGACTTGAGCTCTCTGCCTTTTGCCTAAAGTACAGAAACCACACAAGTCAAGAAAATTTGAGATTCATTTCCTATAAAAGGGTATACTATGAGAATATAGTATGCTGAGGTGTTTGCTTATAATGAAGATTGTCATTTGAAGCACTATTGCTTGCAGCATTATTAATACAGAAAAAGAAAAATATTTCTTGAACAGAGATTTTTTGTACCTTTGTAATGAGACTTTAATTGCATGTTCCTCTAGCAGAGGTAAAGCTTTGGTACTGATCTCATTTTTATGGTTGCAACCATTTGTTACCTGACATTCTGATACTGCAGAGTAACTTGTGACCTAGGGCACCTTCTTCCAGAGAGTAGTTGGCTTCCATCTTTGACATGTGACATACAACATATATATGTTACCCCATCATTCACAAGTGCTCAATAAGATTAGTGAAGAGCAAGCAGAAGCCATCTGAACTTCCGGTGTGAGTTGGGAACGAGAGATTAGCAGTTCTTTTAGTATTTGCTATACTCCTAGATACCTCATTATAGTTATTTTTGTCATTAAATCAAATGCAAAAGTAATCATACAAGTTATAAGGAAATCCTTCTTCTATTCCTATGTAGACTCAAACAGAGCAAATACCAAATACAGACTTTTTCTGTTGGTCTGTTTCTTTTCTTTCTTTTTTTAAATACACTAAATTTAAAACAACTATCTCACTGGATAATAAATCCATGTGATGAGCTAATCATTTATCTGCATATCAGACTTTACAACATTTTAACTGTATTAAATATGACATGAGAGATGTTCAGTCCTTACCTGCACATACTGCAACTCCTATATAAGCAACAGTTGTAATCAGAATGGCGAGCATTGTTCCTTTGGGTATCGCCCCTTGGGGATCCTTAAAACAAAGCAGTGACCAAAAACAGCTGTGAGTTCCCAGGCTCTGTTCTGCCTGCATTTGCATACCAGTGAGCACTGCCACACTGTGATGAGAAGATGGCTTTAGAGGGTGGATATTTTATTTAGATTGGTACCAGTACCTCCTGTTCCTCACAGGTAAATGGGACTGAAGCAGTTCTGGGGTGCAGTGCTCATATCCTGAACGCAGCGGAACATGAGCATTGCGGGACCAGTGCTCCTCACGTATTACAGCAGCAGGAGAGTTCTGAACTGTGCATTTTTGCGAGAACAAGTTTGTTTTACCTCGCAACAGCCTTTATTATAAAGTCTTACTCATTCAATGCCTAAACTTTGACTGAACTAAGCTGCTTGTTTCAGTAGAGTGGGCCAGATGGTTGCCTGCTCATCACTTTCAGGCCATGGGATTTTTCATTCAATGTGCTGCCTTTTCCTCAGCAGCATATAGTAATTGTGCAGGTAGCCACTTGGAGACCTAAGATCACAGCAGATGTTTTCCTATTAGCTTAACACTAATACTTTGGTGCCTTCGTAAAGACCAGGGCTTTTGTGTAAACCCTTCCTCTGTAAAGCTCTTCCTCGTTAATGCAGTTTATGAGGGTAAGCTATCATGCCTTTGTGGATGACAAGACTAGATCCTAGATCATTTGCATTAATCAGTGAGATAACTGCAAATAATCACCCTGAACAGAACACAGCACTCCTGTGATTAGCAATAGTAATTGTTAGCAGTGTTTTAGCATTAAGCTGCTTCCTTTCACTGTTTCGACTTTTAAGTTAGATGTTTCAGTAAGGCTGTATTGTATTTTCTTAGATGGACTTAACACAGTATCAGTATTATTCAATGCAACTGTAGGTAAGGGTTCAAAGATCTGCATTATACTTTGTAATTTTAAGGGGAATTTTTAATATCAACCAATCTAACGATTAAGTAAATGTTTGTTTAGATTAGAAAGCAATTCTTTTGTGAATTTTCTTCTTAAATTGATTTGGTAAATTTTTTTGATCAAATATACATGGAATAAATTACTTTCTTAACTACTATATTTCATGATAAAATATGTATACTTGAAGAGTTGTGTGAATCATGGATGTGTGATTTAACTATGTTAATAGTTAATATCATTTTTAAATTAGGTAAAGATTTATTGAGCTGAAAAATAATAGCAAAGTCGTTTCAGCTGCAAAGACCTTTTGACTTCAGATCGTGTCAACTTTCCATTATTCAATTCTGGTGTGCATGTCTTCAGGTGCTGTTTTCATAGAGTCTTATGCAGCAATGTTAAACACTGTGACCTTAAATGTTAAGGTTAAAGCTTCTTCACTTCTACAACTTTTAAATTGTATTCACAATTAAACATTTATCTAATGCGATGTTACCATTTTATGACCTGCTCCAAAACCTGCTCAAGTCACTGCTAAGACTAGCTTTTAGTGTCGGTCAGCTTTGTAGTAGGCTGCTACTACAGGATTACAACAGCTATAGAAGCAAATGTGTAGGTGTTTGCAATAAATGTAAAAGAAATTTTAGTTTGCCTATTTTACACATTTTTAATACTTCTTAGCTTGTGTTTTAGAATTCCAGGGAGGCTGATTAATTTCTTTAAACCTGTGTAATGCATCTTAGCATAGTCAATAGTGAATCTGCAGCCTGGAAGAGTTGGCTTTAAGGCTACTAATTACCAGAGCAAAGCAATTAGAGTGAAAATGGGAGAATGGGTTCTCTTGGTTTGCTCAGATTCTCTAAAATCGCTTATGAAAGAAGCTAGGGTGCTGTGGGAACTTGTCTGTTGCATAACTTCCATAAATGGCAAAATAAATATTTTTGTTTGATAAAAAGATGGAGATCCTGTGAGAGTGACTCAGTCTCAGTGAGTATAAGAACAGTATTTTTTTAATTAAAAATGGAATTCACCGCAGATTCTATTAGTAGCTCAGTTTCTACAAATTCATCTCTATTCTTGCATTCCAAAGCAGTCTTCTGAAAACAAAGGAGATGAATCGTGTAACTCAGTGTGAGAAAGGGAGAAACTGGTTGTTAGGGCTGGTAAGATCCTGATGAACTTGTGGCTACTGGGCCAGTAAGAAAATGAGCTGTGTGGTTGAATTCTTAAAGTATATTTCTATACAATGAGTCTGCATAATAAGGCCAGATAGCCTCATGTGAATGGCTAGGGATGTCAAGGTGTGAGCCACTTCTTTTTGGTAATATATTTGATTTTTAGTACAAGGTTCCAACAGCGGAAGAGTTACAGTTGCCCCATGGCCCACCACATGCGCATGTCTGAATTTCTTACAGTAATACAAAGTAGTTGACAATGCAATAGAGACGTTTTACCAGATGCTTTGGTGAACTTTGAATTATCTTTAAATACTCCTTGAATTAAACACGTTGTGCAAAACTTCAGCTAAAACTAAACTCCTGTCTGTAATTTGTAGATTGTTTAGGCACTACAGACATCTAAAGAATCTGCTATACTACAAGATGGGCCCTTGACAGCATGGGAGCAGCCAGACATTTGGGAACCCCTTCCTTTCTCAGGCTCCTTTTTTTTTGTTACAACTGCAAACCTGCAGCTGCAAACCTTTTGAGCATTGGCAGAGATAGGGTATTGGAACATGTTTGCTTTCATTAAATGCTCTGTTTGTTCTGTCCTTGCTATAACCCTGCATGAGAGGGGGAAAAAAAACGCCCACCACACTATTTTCCCTGAACTTTTTTTTTTTTTGGGTGCAAAGATGAGTTTTAGAAGTGTATTTTTGGGGTGATACAGGAGATTTGGCAAAAGAAGAGCACAAGGACTTACACAGGCAATTTCTCTAAATAACAGGCTGCTAATGGGCCATTGATTTTATATTATTGTAGGTTACTAAAACATTCTTTTAAATGATATAACAACCCAAATCTGAATGCAGAAAATTGTGTAAATAATCATACTGTATTAAAAGAGACAAGATAAACTGATGTTTTTAAATAAAAAAGCAGTACTTGAAAGTGAGAGTTTTGCTCTCTAAAATCAGCCATGATTTAATACTGAATACAGTGTTGATTAATAATCTGTTTTCTTGTTCTTTCTCACCCTATAACTAGTATTACAAAGTTAAAGAAATACCTACTTCCAGATCTCCTGAGATGTTGGCTCCTGCAAGAATGCCAGTGGCAGCTGGAAAGAAAATGGCAAACACCGAGAAAAATCCTTCTCCATCTCTGAAATCTGGTCCGAAGTTTTCTGCAAATATTGATGCTGAAAATATAGATGAAAATGGAACATGCCACCAGGATTTGATTCCAGAATTATTTAATGAAGTAGGTGACTAAGCTAGTCTTTCTCATCATGGACGACTGGGTTTGAATCTGTCTCATATCATAAGCAAAATGAATTTGATTTCTCAGTCTGGTCCCCAGTAGTATGTGCTTGTCTGCACATCAGAGCTACAGATCCATACTGAAGTGACAGGAGTGTCACTATGGCACTTGCACATAGCTCAGTGCAAAAGTCTGCCTGTGTTCTGCCAGGGTATGAAGTGCTCAAGCTGCCACTAACCATGCCCTCAGCTTCAGCAGTAGAGACAAACTCAAAGACTGAATAAATTCAGTCCCTTGAAAGAGATGTTGAAAAAGAATTTGGTTCCTGTGCTTTACAAGGTTATTTAAATTTGGAAGATCCAGTTCTTGGGATCTTGTTCAGTAGGATCCTCAGCTCAGTAGAAGGCCAAGAAGTGTGTGAGCTTCTTATTGTGTGATAGACAGCAGAATTTGGTTCCTGTGCTTTACAAGGTTACAATTACTTACCTTGGTAATTAAAAAAGCCTCTTGCCTTCTTTTCATTGTTGGTAGGAATGACTGTCCCAATGAAGAAGTTTGCAATGGCAACAAGTAGAACAACTAGAAGAATAACTTGAGCCTGTCAATAGAAACAGAAAGATATTACCTATTGTTTTATTTTGCAGTTTTGATTGTGGAGGTGGTTATATACTTAGTGATTGGTATGTGCTCCTTCCTCCTTATGACAGATGACATTTCTACAGTTCTAGAAAACACCAGGAAAAAAGATAGCTGAAAAGACATCCTGCCATCAGCTCATGACAATAGCAAATAGTTTTTACTAGGAAGGTTTATAAAATACACAGTTACTGTTTAATTTTATGTTAGTTTCCTTTACAGGAAAAAGGAAAATGAAACGGCTAATGCATAAATATCAAGTATGAAGCATTTTATATTGTTATATAATTTGTTTAGTTGGGGTGGGTTGTCGCTTCAAGGGTTATAATATCTAATTGGCTTTCTGACCTTTCACAAACTGTTCTAACTTTCCATCATTGAAGAATATAAAAATCAGGTTGCTATTTTGGACTTGATTTTGACAGCTGTATTCCATTCTCTAAAATATTTGCAGTCCTCTATTTTCTCTGATAGGATAATAGAGATTTGGACTTTTGTACAGGTGAAGGAATGGCAGAAATCATTAGAGATTAAGAAATGAATACTAAACAGAGCTGTCCTTTTGCTGAGCTGAGTTTGAGAGAGTACAATAGTACGACTAGTTTTTGCTATTGTTTATTCTGCTGAACTGCATCAAAAATAAGGGCAAAAGGAGCATTTATCCAAGGCTCTAACTGGTGCCATGAATTATAAAAAAATCAATATACTCAAACCATTCGTGGAACACAGACTTCCTCTTCCCTCGTTAATGTATGTTCAGGAAAGCCCGTGAAGTATTTTGCTTTCATTGAATATAATGGTTAAACTGCTATTGCTTTAAAAAAAAAAACAAGCATAACTTGAAGCCGAGGGCTTTTGAAAATCGCACTTGGTGTACAGCATTCCTCACATTCAAACCTTGTAAGTAGTTTTACATATTGCTTGCTTCTGTATTAAAGGTTTACCTTTGCTTCCCATTCCATGCCAGCAACAGAGATGCCAAGAAGACATACAACAGTTATGGTGCCAATTATTCTGATGTCATTGGACTCATCTACCATGATTGTATCACTCTCCTGAAAAGGATAAGAAATGTTATTAGAACCAATCTGTCTTGACCGAGCTGGAGAGATCAAATAAGTTGAACAGAAGGGAGTGAGTTGTCAGAACTTGCTCAGTTTCAGGGGCGAATGAGCCCAAGTGTTTGTGTTTCATGTTTGCCCTTTGTGGCTGGGTGGTTCGTCTGACTAATTAGGGATTTATTTCCTTTTATAATTTTGAGGCTTTTGTTGAAATGTTTGAAAAATTACCATAAAATAGGAGTAATGCAGAAGCACTCTGTGGCATTTTTAAAGGCCTGCTTCCCTGCTAATGATGTCCCTGAATCCTCAGCTAAAAAATATCAGCATTTAAAAATAAAATAATCCCTTGTTTAACCATGAACTGAAAATATCTACATTTACCTTAAGAAGTTCTACAACTGTTTCAGCAAATCCAACTACATACATGGCGACTGCCACTGCATTTGCAAAGGCAAAGATCAGTCCTATAGATCCACCAAACTCTGGGCCCAGACTTCTTGAAATAAGATAGTAAGCTCCACCTGCAGACAGAAATGACTTTGATTCAGCACAATTCAAGATGCTCAGTTGCTGCCTGTATGACTCACATAACAACAGCACAGGAATCTTTGCTTTTTGCCTAATAAATCCAATCAGGGGTTTCCTTATTAATGCAAAAGAATAAATACAGCAAACTGATAAACAAGGAAGATGCTTTGTAGTGGTTCTACCTTCAGAACCTTTTCTAAACCTCTTTTACTATATTCTAGTGTGCCAAATTGAACCCTTAAGCAAATATTCCTGATACCGGAGCAGAGAAAACCTCTCCCCTAGACAAGCTCTGCTTACTTGGATCTATCCCAATGTTAGTGTGAAAAATCATGTTGTATGATGTAAAGAGGTACTATATATTGATAAAGCTTCTGCAAAGTGATGCAGTGAATCTTTAATCTTGTTTTGCATATCCCCATAAATGAAGTATATTGCTTTATCAATTATAATTTTATCATATTTCACTGAGATGAAGTACTTATTGTCAGGAAGCGTTGAAGATTATATACACTTAAATTGATGGTGGACCCAGTGAGAAAGACCACCCCAAATTTTAATTTTCCCTAATTCAGATCTGCAGATATTCGTACTTTTCATGAAGTCATACTCACTTACCTCCTCTCACTACTCCATTAGTGCAAATGGCAGACATGGAGATACCTGTTAATGTTGTTACTACTACACTCAGACCAATAACTATGACTCCGAGACCTGAAAGATCCGAAAAAGAAAGTACAATCAAGTGTATTCAAGTACCTGCTCTGCCTAAATGATGTAGTAAGAACTTGCTGTTTTCCACAGAGGCTACAACAGACCAGTCATGCCTTCAAGGCTCTGAAATGCACTAGAATTTTTCTTTATAAAATACCTGACACGTGCGTTTGTTTTCAAGCAGAAATGTTTACTCATCTTCCAAGGAGTAGCTGAAATGTAAAATATTTTAAAAAGAATTATACAGGAAGATATTTGATGCGTGTCAGTTGATATCACCTGTCTTTAAAATAAAAGGAAGTGATGACTGATATTCAGTTTGTCCAAGGACATCCGACCTGAAATGCTCTGAGTAAGAATGACCGGCTGAAAGGTAAGAACAGAAATCAGTGAAAAGCCAGAAGCCGTTCTTCAATCAGCATTAGGCAGGAACATCTGAAATGTACTTTACAGACTGAACTGAAATCTGACATTTATTAAAAGTGACAACTCAAGTATGCTGTAAATTGTGATTAGGGTTGGTGAGAATTGTTACCTTCTAGTTCCTTTAGATGTATCATTTGGTTTATCGTCCTTCTTGCTATTATAGAGCTCAAGACCTCTGGTTTGCCTCATATGAAAATAGTACATAAAAATCTTTCTGGGCTTGAGAGCATTATTAACCCTAAAGATTTTACCTCCACGGACAAACCCATTAGTTGCTATTGCAGAAGTTGACAACCCAGTAATTGAGGTTACCATCGTGGCGAGGAGAATTATGATTACTCCAAGACCTGTCAGTAATAAGAAGATAAAACATTTTACTTATGTTCCATGATTCCTACAAATCACTCTCTCTTTAAATTAAATTTTCAGTTGGGAGTCAGAGCTGTAAACTGAAAGATGGTTTGCTGACCACTTGTGGTTGCACAATGTTTCCAATGAGACCATGTCACAGTAGTAAATTATTTTCATCAGTCTTTAAGTGGTGATGCTTCCTGATAGGAAAAGCCTAGCCAGAAGCTCTGATAGTGTGTTTTTTTTGTTTGCTTGTTTTAAGGCTTTCTTTGTTAGCTGAATAAAATGGGCAAACAAGTGTTGCTTGGCATGGATACTCATTCCTATCTTAGACATACGTGCTGGCTGTTTAAGAGAAAAGCAACTGACCGTTTTGACCAAGACTCTTGTTTGTTAGATGCTTCTGTCTTTCATCAGTTGACTAAGTATTGTATTGGAAAGTGAAAGGCTGACTGTATAGTTTCGTAGTATAATAGGTACATAGTACATAGGTACTCTACCCTATGCAGGAGAGAGACAAGATTTGAATGAGAGCCTTCTTACCAGGCTATTGACCACAGCCTTCTCCCTCTCTCCCTCATCATCTCTCTCTTTCACTGCAAAAAGCAGTTTCACTGTAACACAGGACAAATATTCCAAAATAGAAGTGTTGCCATTACCATTTACTTTCAAGAGTCCTCTAATGCATAATCTTAGAAATCTGTTTTTTTAAGGTGATATCACAAAACTATGTAATTAAATGTGAATAATCAACTGAATGAAGATCAGTATTGATAGGTGAACTGGATTCCTGTTTGGATGGTGCTCTGAAAGTTGAGTATGCTTGTAATTTTCGGCCAGGCTTCTTTTTAACACTGTGAAATTGCACTAGAAACTATAGGACTATGAGTTTTCCCTTAAGATTTAGAATCATAGAAATATTGGTTGAAAGTGACATCTGAAGGACTATAGCTCAGCCTGCCACTTACCGCAGGACTAGCGACAGCACTTAGTCAAACCTGTGGTGCTTTTAGGTAGTTGAGTCTTGGAAACTTCCCTTTGCCTCTTTGGGTAACGTTCCGGTGCTACACTGCCCTCCCGGTGAAAAAGCTTTTCCTACGTGTCCAGCCCAGACCTTCCAAATTGGAATTTTGTTCATTGGTTCTGTTATATTCTCTGGCACTGTGAGAAGAGTTTGGCTGTGTAGTTTCAGAATACTTTATTGTTTCAAGTCAGATGAAGAAATAATATGACATTTTGTCTAAGCTTTTTTGTTTCTGTTCCCGTTTATGGCTATGAGAGATAGATATAAATAAATAAGTAAAACAAGATGAAACAATTACAATTTGATACCAAACATTGAAGGGGTTCTTAGTTTTATCTGAGCTTGCTAACACTTATCCAGTTCACTGTTTTTCACTCCAATAGTTCTCTTGTTCCAATAAGGTGAATAGGTTTTAAGTGAGGAACAGAAGATTATATGTTGCCTGGAGCGATATTTATGATCAGGACTCATCCAAATTAAAACGTGGATCCTGCAATGGACAACCAGCTAGAGGTACTACAAACATATTGATTTATCTGCTCTATTTCTACCTTCTACCTCTCACATCAGATTCCCAACTTCATTTCATACTGGGTGATTATAGACATCCAATCCCTGAATGAATGTTCTTTGCTGCTTAAGTTATAGCCATGTTATCACAGTCCTTTAAGATAGAGCAATGTAATGCAGGAGGTATAAATGATATATAACAACGTTTAGGATATTTAAAGTGATTGGAGCCTCTAATAAATTGCATTTATCCTATTGATTTCTGAGTCTTTATTATAAGGAGTCATGCACCTATTTTATATGCAGTTCTGTATAAAAAGTCAGAATGCTGTTCCTTTTGGTCAGGTACCATTACATGCCTCATAGAAAGATCTTGTTCAGCTCTCTGCAAACTTTATGCCCAAAAAGTGGTTGTATACGACTTTTAATCAGCAGTTAACTTTTAAATTGAATAGATCAGGTACATTATTTTTGGAGTGGTTTTGAAAGGACTGAGCAAATCCATGTAAATTCTGAAGTGTTTTCCCTGGATTTTCTATTATATTCAAAAATCATTTTGTCAAAAGTGCATGTGCCAAATAGGGTCAGATATTTTGCTAATGCTGTAACTCTTATCTGCTTGGAAAAGCTTTACTGTTAAAATTGAGAAGATGGTAACATTCAGTAAGAAAAGTGAATAAATGAAGCAAGCCAACCAAAACATTATTGTATTAGAGCGTAACTGTGATATTTGGGGCCAGGTTTCAGTTAGCATAAACTTGGTCTTTTCCTCTGCCTTTGACTAGGCATTGCAGGTGTGAATATGTATATTCCAGGTGTGTGTGTGTGTATATTTATATATATATATATTTTCCTAGACGTGTATATATACATATTTTAGAGAGTCTCCAAATGTTGACTGTAAATATCAGACTGCTTTTGGACGTGGAACCATGTCAGGGGCAGACTGTCCTTTTTTGCGCAGCCGGTCATGAATAGAGTACCTTGTTGGAATATTATTTTCTGCCTTTTAATAGCTTGTACCCAAGACAGGCCAGTTATTTCCTTTTTCCTGATAGGTTTTCCCTCTTTGGACTTCTAATGATGAGGATAAAAATGATGCCCAGATGGTGGTTTAACTGACTCATTTTATTTCTGTGTTAGTAGCAGTACCCAGTGAAATCCCCAAGCCTTGGTGATGATGAGCTTCCCTTGCTGTTCTCCTTAAGCAGCTTGCTGGTGACATAAAGCTCATTGCTTACAAGACATTCAGAAAACACATTTGGAGATTATTCAAACTAAATTTGATTTCTCATTTCAGAAGGAAAACTAACCTGCTTGTGTAAGACATGCAGTTTTAAAAAGCAGCAGCAGAACAATAAAGCCTAAGAAAGGAGGGTCTGCTTATCAGTGAATTAAAATGGTAGAATTAAATGTGAAAGCAGGATGGCTGTAACTGATGTTAGTGCAAATTAATGTTAGAATCTGATTAAAGTTTAGATTGAAGCCCAGGCATATGGCTGCTAAGTAAGTTGTGCTAAAATGAATTACTTTTGCCTATGGCTGTTCTCACACTTCAAAACAAAGTAATACTTCTTGATGATCTCAATAAGTTACTAAACTGCCCTTAAAAACTAATTTTGCATGAAACCCCAGAGCAAAGTCTTGGCAATATTAAGATGCAGAATTTTCATGGCAAGGCATATACTTATGAGTGCCCTGGGCTGTACGTTCTCATTTGACATGCATCATAAAATCAGCAAGCACCCCTTTGTCAGGCACAGTGCTAATGCCACGCATGGAGCACTGCAAAAACAGGCAAAGTTCTTCCGCTGAGTTCAGGAACTTTTCTGATTTTCCACCTCTGTAGGTTTGTAGGTGGCTCTTTTTTCTTAATGAGCTTTTTCTTTTTATAAGAGCAAGTCTCACTCAAGCAAAACTTCAATGACATCACTGTGTTTTGCTGGAAATGAAATTTCCAGCATGCAAAATTTCAGAGATATTTCCATTCAGTGTTTCTTTTCAACCCGTAACAAGGAAATTCACTCCTGATTTGAGTGCAATGTTTTATCCAAGATCAGTAGTGTTGAGGTCAGAGGCCAGAGTTTGCAGTCCAACTCATACACCCCTGCTCAAAATTTCCAAGGGCAAACGGAGATGTTTGCTGTCGGCCCTTTGGATTTCTGCTTTTTATGACATTAACATGTCCCGATGCCATTCAGAGATTGCCAGTGCCCTCTCATTCTGGGCACTTATAAATGTGTGATACAGAGTGACACTGCCATCAATAACTTGCATTTCTGTTTCCCCCAAAAGTAGTTGCACTGTCCAACTGTTGAAATGCTGTGCCTTACTTCTGGTAGGGCTTCTATCTGGCAGTACTGTGGGCACTTTCTGCTCTCACTATGTTCACTCTTGTCACTCCACAACAGACTGGACAGAGCCTTTAGGGCCAAATCCAGCTGCCACTGAGATTTGAGCTTGTACATTGATTTGATTGGGAGATGGGTTAATTAATAGGCATAGTGAAAGAGCAAAGATACAACATTATGAAAAGTACTTTGTTACAGCTTTCATATAAATTGAGTTACTTGGTGTTTTATAGTCTGCTAGTAGCTAGCATTGTACTATCGTTAAAAATAACAAAATCCTAATGAGACCTCCCTCCAGTTCTGTTTTCATTTATGTGGAGAAGTGTGAAGAAGTGTTGTTTTCAATATGTAGATGACAAGGTTTGGGATTCACAGATAAGCATCGTGTGAGCTCTTAAAGGTTAACTCTGTATGCTCATATTAGAAATTGGCCCAAGTAATGAAGTTTACATCTGCTACAGAATCTAAATACAAATTTCACCAAAGCTTAGAAATATTCAAATGTGATGATTATATGCATAGTTAACAGATCTGTGCCTCTAAGCAGTAATTTGGCTGGGAGTCTGGAAAATTCCAGTAGTTTGGATGATTAACATTTTTACCCTGGCAAACATTTGAAAAACATAATTTGGTTCAACATGCAAGTGTGCATCTCGGATTATATGTTAATTGTGATAATGTATAGTTTGCCCTCTTTATCCCTTTCAATGCTGAAAATATTACTAAGATACATACCAATTCCGGCTTGACCTACGATCCAGGAAAGTCGAATAAAAAGCATCACACCCCAAATATTGAGCATGCATCTTACCTAAGTTTTAAAAAAACAATATTATATCAGTATAACAATCAGAAGAGTGATAATGTGCAAGCTTTAAAAAGCACCCCAAACATTCCATAAGTCATCTCTTTCCTCTCTTGAGTTTTAAAAGACCTTAGTATTACAAAACTATTCTTTTTACAAAAAGAATACAAATTACAAAACTATTTTTATCTTCTTTTAGTTTGTTTTTAAATGCAGATAACTTTCTCACCAGCACACCCTTCACCCATCCAAACTTTACGAATCCTGTTTTGTTTTCTTCTTCCTTGCTGACTGCTGTGTCATCTCCAGCAGAGCCTTCTCCATTAGCCACTCTCTCAATGGAGCTGGAGTTCACAGCTATGTTCTGCAGGATCACACAGAAAACAAAAACGTTTTTGTGCCAAGCAGATGACACCTGCCTATATGAGAGACATGAAATCAAGAAACTCTAAAGAAGACTGGGTTTTACTGTCTCTGGACTAAAATGCAATATTCTGCTCACAGCAGGTATCAGCAGGTGGGCTTGCTAACTGCAACAAAAGATGAAAGAGTCATTTAAGTTAAGGAAATACATCATTATCTGATGCTAATTTATTTTTAGTTTAAACCGTATGCAACATACATGTTGTGCTGATAGGTTAGAAGAATATCTAATCTGTAAGTTGTGGGAAGAACTCTGCTGTTTTCTGTTGGATAAAGTATAAACATAATTGTAGCAGCAAATGGGTCACATTCTTGAAAGCCGTCAGAGAAATACTGATGAAATGTGGTACATAATGCATTAAATGGTTAATCCTTTCTGTGGTTTAGCAGGCTCTAATATAATTGTTGCAGGTACAATTAAATATTTGCAAGTTAGTGATGTAACCCTATGCCAAAGGCAAAGATAATGAATGCCTGTGTTCTCTCTTAAGGGACCTGCTCATCTATACTGGTTATTCACACTCACCTAGAAAAGGGCCAGAATCAATATCCCAGAATTTTGGAAAATCTGTGTGTATTTCTGGACATAAATCTGTATTTTGTCTCTTTTGTTTTTCTACCTCAGAATCCTTGAGGTAGTTTGGCTCCATGTGTTTCTTGCGGTTTGAATAAGAATTAGATATATTACCAAGGGTTGGCCTTGGACCTCCGTACCTTCTAAATTGTGTTAAACAAAGTTCTGACTGGCCGAGGGAGGAAACAGGCTAACCATTGACAGATAGTGTTGGGCCCAGAGCAAGGAACTCCAGGTGGGACTCTGTACCCTGCTATATTCTGGCAGAGAGGGACAGGAATGTGTGCGTGTGTGTCCCTTAGGAAGGGGAATCAAGGTGCTTTCAGGGCTTGGAGGGGCTGGAGACATTTCCAGACTATACAAGGTGAAGATGGGAGACATATGATCTTGGATCGCGTGATAGCCTTAAGGCTATTTCTGTATTTTGCCTATTGACTCCATAAAATGCATTACAGATATAAAAGCCCATTGAATGTGGTGTTTATGCTAATGTTAGCATAACACCCCTCCATATAAACAGGAGTTCTAGTCACTCCAGTGCAACATTGTGAAATGCCTTTGACACAAATATTGTATTTTGCTAACAAATGGAGATCAGATGATAAGATTTTTAATGTAGATGTCTAAATTCCCCTTAAGCTCCACTTGCTGTCTGCTCCTTTTTTGTTTTTTTGGCCCAAATGTAAATGGGAGCATAAGATCTTTTGAAGGTGTGCAACTTTGAGCTCCTGATTTGGGTACTTTTGACATTTTCTAAAATAACTCTAAAATAGCAATGTTGTGTTTGTTCAAAATACAGTAAATTATTAAAGTAAATTAAGGAGGATTAACAACCAGAAAAATGCAAACACAGTGGTTAGAGTTTCAAAGACAAAAAAAAAAAAGTGTTTAGACTGTGTACTTGAAACAAGTTGTTTCCTATGTACTTTGAATTAATGTGTTCTCTCCCATGTCATTATCATAAATTATGGCCCTAAACCTTCCATAAATGCATTTTAAAATGGTGTGTTTTAGCAAATGATTGGTTATTTGCCAAGCAGCTGTACCTGTACTACTTGTGCATTAACGATATGAAATAAAAGTGACAGGATATTTTTGGAAAGCTACCAAAATTGAAAGTTCGCTGCTTAATTTTTCCCCCTTTATTTGTTGCAGAAGAGTTTAACCTTCATCTTGCCTGAGGCTAAACATGATAAGCTCATCAAGTCTGTAACAAGTGTGGAGAATAGCCAAGACGAAGAAAGGTTAGATGACTTATTATGTAAGGTAAATATTAAGCCTAACTAATTATCACCAGCCGTAAGCTTTGAAATAGCACTTAGACTATTTTTTAGGTATTTAATTGGCATTTTGTGACTTAGTATGTGCAAAAAATGGCACATTTTGCCAAAAGATGACACACATTTGAATCCAGCGGTGGAGGAATTGAATTTTTGAAATTCCTTTCAGCCTGCTTCACATTCTGACATTTGAAAAATAACATATTTAAAAATATTAGAGATTGATATTTATGTTCTGATGCTAAGTCCATCATCAAAGCAACATGGGAACACTTACATGATGCTTAGATATCTGGAGTCAAACAAATGTCACTTCTTATCAGAGTCTGGCAATGGGCTCTGACAAAGCAGTTGTCTTCAACAATCTGGGTTTCCAAGAAATGGGGAGGGGAGGATTGCTTGGGGTAAAATGCGCTAAAGTCAGATTTTAGCGTTAAGGAATAAAAACGAAAAAAAAAAACATCTTCTCCACAAGTGAAGCTTAGGCTATTAGTCTAATTCCCCCACACTGCATGTAGCCTTTCACTGCCACCTTTGTGGTGGCAAGAGCGCCTGCTGTGTCCTGGTAGATGGGCCCCCCCATTCAGCTGCACACACTGCAGAAGCTTCTCACCTTCCATAGAAGCTGCCAGGAGTTCTACCTGTTCAGATTATCTAAATGCCCTACTTTACTAATCTGCTATTTGGTGATGGCTCATTTATTCTTCAGAATATCCAAATTGCTTTTGTTTGAATCTTTCTGTGATTTCAGGAAGATTTTGAAACACTTAGCAAATGTCAGTAAATCAGATTTTACAGAATCTTTCTCAGGTCTAACTAAGTATTGAAATCTGCAGCTTACAGATGAGGAAGTTTAAGATTGGAAATTTAAGACAGAACGCATGAAACCCCACAGAGCACTTGCAGATGTGTATGTGAGGCTGGTGTATCTAGACAGTACCTGGCAGCTCCTGCCCTGTTGCCAAGAACTCAATCAGTATGATGCTCTATCTGGTCTTTTTAGCCTGCTGGCGGCTGTATTCCTTCTAACTCAGGAACTATCCTGTTTAGTGTTAACCTGGAAACCCAAAAAGCTTTGTGTTGTTATCTGAAGACCCAACTGGTTTGTCCAAGGTCACAGAGTGAGTCCATGGGATAGACAGGAATGGAATCCACCTGGACTAACGGCTGGCTGTATCTTCCAGTGCCTTGGTCAGCGGTTCCCAGACCGGAGCTGTAACCCACTTAAGGACACTTAAGGAAAAAGTCTGGGAACAGTTGAGCTCAGGTGATGGTCTTTTCCGTAATATGGTAAGTCTGTGAAATCTGATGGTAAAGGAGGGAAATAATTTTCTCTTTGGTTTATTCTGGAATGAAAACTGCCTTCTTTTTTACCTGCTGTAGGTTAAAGTCCTATAAAACCTTACACAATTCATCTGATTTTATTAAAGTAAACAAAACAAACCTGCTTCCTTAAATTATATGTGCAACTGCAAAAAAAAAAGGGGGGGGGATTTTTTTTGTTAAAACTGAGAATCTCTTAATATTCTCATGTTCAGTACATGTTTGTTCAGTGTTTTTCAGTTGGTTCGTGTTTTCTCCCCTCTCTGGCCTCCACTAGTGTAAATTGTTTCTATAATAAATTTCTTCTGGATATGGAAGTGTATTTAGTCCCTTGAGTAGCATTTTACACATCTGCAAATGAGTAGGGTTACCAAGTTAAAGTTCTGCCCTTCTTCACATCCATTTTGCATTCATTTGGGGAAATCTAAGTGGTCACCCAGGGAACTTGTTTCTCCTTTCTCTTTAAGCCATTTTTTCCAGGTCTGCAGCGACCATAATTTAAATAAATAAGGTCCAAGCTAGGAAGCTGTCCTAATCAGGTCCCAAGGAATCAGATCCTAATTTTCCTAATGGCTATTTTTTTTTTTACTTGGTTTCATTAGTTTGTATTAATCCTCCTTAGGAAAGGTGAATCTCCAGAGAACTACTGGGGTTTGAACAAGGTCTGGACCAGCATCCAGAAACCAGACGCTTGTCCAAGCTATTCAGCTCTTAAAACCATGTAAAAGTGAGTGGAATGGCAATGAGAACATTGTTTCTCTGGAGACTTCTCATTACACTATTGTTTGACACAGGGAAAAAAAAACATATATTTTTTAATTTTGGTGGTGGTGGTGGTGGTGTTTGGGGGGATTTTTTTTCTGCACCTTGGCACTCTGAGTTTAAATATAGAGGTGATTCTTCTTTCTAGCCCAACTTTCACATGCCTAATTAAAAACCTCAAAAGTTTTGATTTTAGTTTATCCCTAAAAGTGGGTGTATCCTGTCTCTTCTGTTTTTTTTTTTTTATAGAGAACATATTACTGTGCCTTAAGGGGAGGGTATTTTTACCAAAGTTATTTGAGTACTAAATTGTTTCGGTAGTGTTTGTCAGGTTTTTAAATAGTTTAACTGTTTTGGGGAGCTTAATCTAGTTGTCCTTGTCCTCCAAACACTCTCATTTCAGTTTTCCATGCTTATTTCACATGGAGGGAACTTATTCATCCATACGTAGGAGAATTAAGACTTAAAGGATTCCTAGACAGATGGATTTTGCCCAGGTAGTTGCACAGAACTTAATGAAGTCTGCTGTTTTAGAGTTAATGCTGTCAACTTCTCAGATTCTTTCTCATGAAATGTATAAATGTGCAAGCTCCAAACATTGTAACTGAAAAAAATGTGTTTTTTTAATTATTCTTGCAAATGTAGCTGTGCAGAGTAACAAAAGTGAGGATTTTCATGGCAAAGGGTGTATTTTAGTTTTGGTATTTTATTATTCATTTGCTGAAGTTTGCCCTGCATTAAAAATGAAGCAAAGAGGAAGAATCTGCTGAGGGGAATGATGAAGTTTGCTCAATAGTAAGCTGCTGCACTGCGCTAACCAAACGATCCATATTCTCCTCAGAAGGGGAAACAAAAAATTGAGACCTACAAAATCTTTTAAAGGCAACTGTACCCTTTTCGCTAGTTCTCTTTTCAAACTTACTTTGAATGGATATAGTCCCATCATCTGTTGTATGAGCAAAGTCAAACAGCTCTTCTGGATAACATATTAAAAGAAATTTAGCTAAATTATTCCTCCATAAATGTTTTAAATGTAGCCATTCAAGTGGCTCTTTGGGTTCTCCAAAATCACTGGTATAATGAGCGTGAAGGACTAAATCCATTCACTCAATTCTAAAAATGGTTCTTTTCTCTTTATCAAATAGCAATATTTTCCACCTAAAATCCCTTTTTCTGGAATCTTTCCTGCTATTTTAATGCTTTTGTTACTCCAATAAACAGATAATGCTCTGGATTTCTGACTAGTTGAATTTGCATCTATTACACATTATAACACATATTTGTAGTATATGTGCATATATATTTTAACAAATACAGCAGAGGAATATCTGAAGCTTAGTTAAGAATTTGTTAGATTCAAATTCAGAATAAATTTTAGTTCCATAATTTGATTAAATTATGAACTGATATTCATAATCTGTCATACTATCTGAAGTGAAACAGAAATTTAATAATTTTATACTTTTAAACAAGAATAGCCATGTTTCTCTGCCAATCAAATTCATTACTTTCAGCCTTTAATAATAATCTTTGCTTGGGAAAGGTACAGGGAAGAAAACATACTGCAGCTAGCAAAGCAAATATGGTAAGTCATTAGCTATACTTTTTCCCTATAGCAAGGTTCATGAATTTAAGGACTTTCACATATTAATAAACAGAATTAACAGTCTGGAAATTAGAGAATTTCGTATTTTTCCTTTTCACTTACCTTTGCCAGTTGTTCATGAATTTCTAATAAGCTTGGTCTGTTGAGTTTATTCCCACTGACGCTGCCAGTGTTTCTGTAGTAATCAATTTTAGGAACTGGATCCATGGTGTTATGGCCAAAAGTTTGCAGATAATACATGTTACTGTGAGTGTCGTAAGGATGTAAGCTAGCTTCTGTTTTCTCTCCATTTTGAAGAAAATTGTCAAACAACTCTCTCTTTCCTGGTCTGTAGCTGATTTTCAGTCTGTTATGTGCTTCATCTGTGAAAGATGTTTCTTCATAATGTGGTGGGTCAGAGCACACATCCTCTTGAGATGTTTCGTTGTTGTCATGGCTTTCATTAATTATGTTAACTTGAAACCGATTTGCATTTGGATCCAAGAATACGTTTGGAGAATTATTCATTGACATCTTCAGGGATGTTAAGGGATGTTATGGGCTTAGGTTACTGATCCCTCTACTACTCTGTCACTGCAACTTGTGCTACCCTAGTTACACCAAAAGGGCTAATGTTTTATCTGGAGTCTTGGCTCTTGGATGAATCAAGTATTTAGAATATTTTCTTGAAACCTCTAAGCAGTCTTCCTACTGCTGTCCTCTGTGGTTCTGCTATCAAAAAAAATATAAATAAAACATTTATATTTACTTGCATAGTTAGGCAAATCTTCCGCTGCAACCCCCTTGCAAAATCCCCACAAGATAGCTTATGATTTGCTGAATAAACAACAGATGATTCAAAGACCAACTTTGTAGGGGTTTTTCCATACATCAAAAATGGGTTTTGGATCCTATTCCAAGCATCTAAAATTATAAATCAAATCCAGTATTTCTCTTAATTATGTAATGTTCAACTAATGCCAGTGAAAGTCTAGGCAGTACAATACAAGGGCTGCAACAGACTTTACTAAGACCTATATCCTGAGTTTTTTGATTTTTTTTTCCATGCCATGGAAGTATTATGATACTATATATATTTCTTCCACAGTCTAATAGCAAAATGACAGGCAAAGCCTGAATCCAACTTATTTTTGAAACTCCAAAGTTAAAAGTTCTCAAAAGTTGCAGGATGGTAGACAATTCATGAGCAGGCAATTAAAGCATAGCAATCATTAATTTTAGTTGTAAATACAATTAGTGTCATAAGGAATAAATAAGCAGCTGAAAAAATATCTAACGATAGCATTGTTTGCTGAACTGTAAGGAATGAAATAAGTGGTTATGTCCAAATGACACTGGCAAAGTAGTAATTAGCGAAACATGTTAAGAATATGTCCTAGGTATCAGAAGGGTCATAGAATTCGACATTGAATTTTACGCTTGTGCACTCAAAAGATCCTTCTACACAATTTGAAGGGAATAGAACAGAATCAATTGGATTGGAAGGGAGCTCATATAGTCCATTTTTTTGGCTCAATGTAGGATTAGCATTGAAACCAGCTCACTTAGGACTTTGAGTCATTAGGGATTTGAAATCCTCCCAGGACAGATTTCACAGCCTGCCTGGACAGCCTATTCCAATACTCAGTTTTCTTCATACTGACTTTTTTCCTTTATGTCAAGTTGGAACCTCTCTCACTTGCCTTCTGTGCACCACATGGAAGAATCTGGCTACACCTGGTCTGTAAATTCAGTGTAGGTAATGAAGAGTTGCTTCACTAGGTCCCCCAAAGCCTTTTCTTTTCCTGGCTAAACAAACCCACTTCCCTCAGCTTCAGAGAAAGGAACTCAACCTGAAGTCTTCCAGCCCTGACCATCCTGGTGGCCTTCCAAAAGCTTGCTCCAGTTTATTAGTATTGTTCTTATGTGGGTAGGGAAACAAAATATGTCAATATAAAAGCATATATGAACTAAACATGTGGGTGAATAAGACCATTAGAATAAATTTTTCAGAGTTTTATGCTTTCAGCAGGAGGTTGGACTAGATGACCTCCGGAGATTTCTTCGAACCTAAAATTTTCTTTGGTTCTGTGAAATGCATTTGGCTATTTGACACTAGAAGATAAGTGCTGTATCTATATTTATGCCTGAGCAATGTAAATATTGCCTAAAATTCCATTTCAAAGTTATACTTAGAAGAGAGGTTAATCAAATGCCCTCCAAATTCAGTATGAGGTATACCTAAAGCATATATCTTGACTTAATCCATCAGCTGTAGATGATGTTCTGCTGTAACCTCTCTGTAACGACACCACTTTATAGCTCCCTCTTTATAATCTGTGATGTTTTTCCTGCTTAATGTTTTGTAACTTCACAGCAACATGTTACTTTTTAGTAGTCTCTTTTACTTTGTATGGTTTTAGATGATTCATATTACTTTTATTATTACACATTTATGATCATATATAGCATTCAACTTCTCTCAGCCTTTCAAAATTATCAGGAAGTGTTTCATTTCCAGGCACTGAAGAAGCAAAACCACATCTATTGTCATTAAGATCTGTGAAACCAGTTTTGTTTCCATCTCCGTGACTTTAGGTGTCTGAATGAAATTCAGACTCTTTGGTGACAGTGACACTTTTCCTACCAAGTAAAATGATTCCATAAATCCACTGTCTTCTTTCATTTCCATAGTCTTACTACCTTACTAAGAAAAAAAAATGAAAGTCTCTTACCTTGCTGCGGTTCTTGAAAATATTTGTTTTCACGGTGTATTTCCAGGGGGTCAGTCAATTGTTATTTGCCCTGAATTTTGCATTTTTATTCTAGCGTTATGTAGAATTAGCGTGTTTGCCTTATTCAGGGTAGATGAACTTACCACTTGACCTGTGGTTTTAGAAAATCAGTCTGCCTCTTTTATTCATCTGTGTAGCGTATCCCTCTCTTGGAGGCATTGCAGACTCTGTGTTATTGGCCAGATCTTTCTCCTGTTTAATTTGCCGAATGAACCATCCAATCCCTCTCTTAGAATGACATTTTAAAACATTTTTAGATGGTGATTTAGAGAAGCATTTTAGCTTGTAAATTATTAACCTGAAAATGATCCTGTTCATTCTTGGAAAAAACAAAGCTGTTATTTCATAGTTTGTTTAGTTTATTTCTTCAAGTTCATAAAGTGTATTTATAGGCAGCAGCAATTATGGATCTATTCATATGTACTAAGGTATCAGAATATCCTTTATGTCTCCTAAGATCAGAGATAATATAATTTGAAATTTGTTTTATTTTTATTTCATTTTATTTTAAAAAAGTCATTTACACAGAAGGGCCTTTCAGAAAGGTAGGGTCCTAAACAAAGGAGCTGAATTTTTCCTTCCTTGACCTGAAGCATCTGCAAATCTTATATTAAACATTTGTTTTTAGAAAGTCATACTTGAATAAAGCTTGCTCAGTTCTGTTCTGTGTGTTCAAGATAGATATTACATTATCTGGTGAGCACGTCCATGAAAATCAGTGAAAAAAATGTAAGTTCCTGTCCGTCACAGTTATAGGATTTATGGTATTGCAGAATTTCCGAGAGGGTTCAAAAATGCTTTCATTATCTCCATTTCCCTCTCAGCTATTCTGATTCTATGCACAAATCAATCTATTACTTTTTAATACTTTATAATGGACATACCAAGTTCATACCTGTCCAGGTTTCCACTCTGCATGGTTTATGCAGAAGAGGTTTCAGTTAAGGCTGCCTTGTGTACTCTCTGAGACCCACTGATGGATGAGTAGGTTCTCTTTAAGAACCAAGGTAGGTTCCCCTGTTCCACACGTGTGTTTGAACCATTTGCTCCTAACACAGTTCAAAGTTTTACTACATGTATTTGCAGAAAATCTTTGAAAATTTATGTTTTGTGCAGTCCTTCTCAGACTTGTTTGTCTTTTGGGAATGCTGAGTCAAGAAACTGTGAAGGTTTGCAAGCAAAAGGATATTTGGTAACTGCATGCAACAATATCTTTGGGTCAGGAACAAAAGAAATATGACAGTATTTTGCTTTCTTTGGATATGTCTACCTTGTTTGTAGTATAGTTGTATATAGTATATATTATATATATGCTTGCATATAGTATAGTATAGCTGAACTATATTTAAACAGAATAATTTATGTACCTTCCCACTCTATCCTGGCAGAAGAGAGCTAAGCACAAGCTGTGAAATCTGGAAGAGTAATTGCAAAGTGACTTAGATGCCAGAGATGTTTGTAGGGTGCATGCCATTAGGTGTGCATTTGGAGGAAAAAAAAAAAAAAAAAGGAAAAAAAAAAAGTGTCACTTCTGCAGTGGATGGGGCTATCCAGCAGTATTGGATCGCATGAATGAGCTAATGAAAATCTGCCTTTGGTTTTATAGTTACATTTGACTAGCATAAATGCAATAGTCTGAATTTCTGAAGGTGTGTATATATTTTTTTATACAGAATCTGAAGCACTCATATTCACACAATTTTTTGTTACAAACTTTAGCTAGAGCAGTGTGATTGTTGTTGGCTGTTCCTCTTTCACAGTCTCAGGCAGGAGATTCATGTGCATCCCTATACAATACAACATTTCATGTTCCAAGTGGCATTTGAGGTCCAGTGTTCTGTTGACTGCCCCTGTCCAGCAGATAGGGCAAAAGGGCAACGTGTATTTTTTTTAGAACACCTGTGAAAGAAACAGCTCTAACTGATCTCCTTGTCTTTGCACCCAGTTGCAGAGCTGTTTAGCAAAAGTGACAGTGTTTAAAATTCTGATGCCAACATTCTCAGAAACTGAATTGAATTTCTGTCAAGTCCTGTCACACTTGCTGAAGAGCTGTGTATTTGAAGGTGACCTTGAACAACCATTTTTAGTCTCTGCTATTACTGTTAGTTCTTCTTTTTGATAGGATCTCCTGTGACTGGTTCCTCAGGGTAACAGTCTGGAACATACAGTGTGCTGTGATGCAGGGGCATGTGGAGAATAAACAGCTGTGGAGAAGACCTAGAGGGCAGAGATCTCCAGCCGGCTCTGGACTCCAGTCCTTTTGCAGGCTGGGCTCAAATGACTATGTACCCTTTGTGCCTCTGCTTCAACTGACCATGCCAAGCTGGTGTAATTTCTGCTGGGTGCTATAAAACAGTCAGAATATGTTGCAGCTAAAACTGCAACAGTTTTAAGTTCCAATTTAAACTGAATTATCTCTCTTGGAACCAGGAGGAGCAAGAAGGTGATATGCTTTGCTCAGTTCTGTTAGGCTGAAAGGTCACTCTGTGGGATTTGGGGTTCTTTGTTCAGCTTGCAGTTTTGAGTGGATAATGTGGTCTATATTGCAGAATGTTTATAGTAAATTCAAAACATCCATAATTAAGTTTCTCTTCCACTATTTCTGCCCGACTTTCTGTTGCTGTACAGTAGGAGAAGGGAGGGAATATAGAAAATAAAACAAAAGCCCCACAAATCTCTGAGATCAGAAACGTTTCACGTAGGAGAAGCAACACACACTATCCTTGCAAATACAGTCAGCAACTACTGTTC